CCGGGGAAGTGGAGTGAATGTAGACAGGAAGATGTAGCAAAGAATGAAAAAAAGGTGAAAACAAGAAACTTATTTAAGAAATGGCAGCTGTTTATGAAACTTTAAATTAATAAAATCAGTAAATAAGTATTTGTTGCGGGTTGTGGGAAGGACTTGTGTAAATATTTTGGTGGTAAAAGACGGCAAATCATCTTCGTTTGGCACAGAACAATAATAATAATAAATATAATAAAATGTTTCATCTCCGAAGACAATTTCAGCCCAGCCGGATACATATGTTGTCCGTGTAATATAAATACGGAGAATTACATTCATATATAATATGTAACATATGCTGCTCGGCATGCACACTGTGACTCGGGTGTGGTCCGGGAGCGGGGCCCAGCGAACAGTATAAATAGAGTTCTGTTTTGTGGCATTTTTTTTTTTTTAAGGATTTGATCCCAATTTAATTTGCCGAATTAGATCACAAAGCGTTTAAGATTTCTTTATTTTTAATCCGTTTGAAACTTTGAAAAACCGAGAGGGTGAAAAAAACTACAAAGTGTATTGTGGATCTGACACGCCGCAGTCTGGTTGTCAGATGTTCCGAAGAGAACAATGACGGGGTGACGCTTGGGGTTTTGGAACAATGGCGCAGTGACAGTTGGGGGTCATTTACACCAGCAGCTGGGCATCATGTTGCCTGCACCATTTCTGGCAGCGTCCAGCGGCAAGGTGTGTTGGGTTGCCATTCAGTGTCTCCAGTGCACCCCTGTGTCCTCCACTGCTACCCTGTGCTCCCCAGTGTCTCCTGTGCTCCCAGTGTCTCCACTGCTCCCCTGTGCACCCAGTGTCTCCTCTGCTCCCCTGTGCTCCCAATGTCTCCACTGCTCCCCAGTGTCTCCTCCCCTCCCCCTGTGTTCCCCAGTGTCTGCACTGCTCCCCTGTGCACCCCAGTGTCTCCACTGCTCCCCTGTGCACCCAGTGTCTCCTCTGCTCCCCTGTGTTCCCCAGTGTCTGAACTGCTCCCCTGTGCACCCCAGTGTCTCCACTGCTCCCCTCGGCACGCCAGTGTCTCCACTGCTCCTCTTTGCACCCCATTGTCTCCACTGCTCCCCTCTGCACCCCATTGTCTCCACTGCTCCCCTCTGCACCCCATTGTGTCCACAGCTCCCCTCTGCACCCCATTGTCTCCACTGCTCCCCTCTGCACCCCATTGTCTCCACTGCTTTCCTGCACAACCCCAGTGTATCCACTGCTCGTCTATGCACCCTAGTGTCTCCATGTGTGCACCGGTATCTCCACTGCTCCCTTGTACAACCCCCGTGTCCCCACACTGCTCCCCTGCACAACCCTAGTGTCCCCTCTGCTCCCCTGCACAACCCTAGTGTCCCCCGCTGCTCCCATGCACAACCCTAGTGTCTCCACTGCACTCCTGTGAACCTCAGTGTCTCCACTGCTCGCCTAGGCACCCTAGTGTCTCCAGGTGTGCCCTGGTGTCTCCAGTGTGCTCCGGTGCACCCCAGTGTCTACATTGCATGGCTGTGAACCCCAGTGTTTCCACTAGTCCCCTGTGCACCCTAGTATCTTCATGTGTGCCCTGGTGTCTCCAGTGTGCTCCGGTACATGCCATAGTCTCCCCTGCACACCCCAGTGTCTCCAGTACACCTCGGCGTGCCCCGTGTCTGCAAATTTGCCCCATTCCTCTCCCCCCCCCTCTGACCCCAATGTCAACCCCGGCCCATGACAACACATCAATCATTCTGGACGCCAGTCCCCCCGTAACCCCTCCCCTCCGGTGACCCTGTGTGATGCCAGGGGTGATGGTGTCTGGCAGAAGTCCTGCCTGGGCTCCTTTGCTATCTAATGGCGGCCATTCATATCACATAATAATCCGATTATCTCATTAACGTCGGATCACACGTGAGACTAAACAAACCGAGCCCAAAACATATCAACCCAGCGAGGGGCTGACTCCTTCCTCAAAGGGAAGCACCGCTGCCAAATAATGAACCTGTACTGGGAGGATGCGGGGACGGCATTGCCGACCTCTCCTTATGGAAATGTTATAAAAGGAGATGTTTGCCTTCTGAAGGATTTCAGAGCTGCTTGACCGTAGGGAGGGTGACAACGCGTTTTGAAGTCTGCAGGTCTACCGCCTGCGTCACCGCCCCACCTTCTTTTTAACATGCCCATGTACCTCCTTACCACTGCCTATCAGCTTACAGAGCAGCAAGCCCCCCTATTTGTCTTCCTGTTTGTCCTTCTGCCTGCTGACAACCTAAATACTGTCTCTTGATGTCTTTCACTTCAGCATAGACAGCCAATTAGAAAGCAGTAGTGCAGTTATTGCTGAATCTAGCCAAGAGACAACTTGCTACGTAAGTTGTTACTAGAAACTGATGCAAGTAAGCTGCTTATATCCCCTGTGTGTCCCTCCTTCTGCCTGATGTCAACCTAAACACTGTACTTTCTTATGCTTGGCTTTCTCTTTAGCGGTTCACCAGAGATTGACCTTCATAAAGCAGTAGTGGAGTTATTGCTGAATGTAGACAAGAGACTACTTGCAAGCTATGTTGTCTCTTGAAATAGATGCAAGTCAGCTGCTTATATGCCCTGTGTGTCCACTCCTTACTTCTGCCTGTTGTCAACTTAAATGCTGCCTCATGCATGGCTTTCTCTATAGCAGCTCAGCCAGATTGAGAGCAGTAGTTGAGTTCTTGCTCAGTTCTTGCTTGGAATATGTAGTCAAGAGACAACTTGGTTTCACAGGAAGCACGGCCAAGTGCTTGCTGGAGAAGAGGAAAGCCCACGCTGATAACCAAATACTGTCTCTTGATTGGCTTTCTCTCCAGCCGTTCAGCAGAGACAGCCAACCAGAAAGCAGTATGGATGAGTAATTGCTGCATGTAGCCAAGAGACAACTTACAAGCTACGTTGTGTCTTGAAACAGATGCAAGTCAGCCGCTTATATCCCTTTGTGTGCCCTCCATCTGGTGACACCCTAAATACTGATTTTCGGCTGAGCAATTCATCAGAGGCAGCCGATCAGAAAGCGGTAGGAGAGTTCCTGCTCTGTGGAATATGTAGTCAAGATATGACTTGCTTCGACAGAAAGCCAATTGCTTGCCAGACATGTGCGATTCGTTTCGTTACGAACCGAAATTCGTACGAATTTTCCTGAAATTCGTAAATTCGGAAGCATCCGAAATCCGAATTGCAGTTTCCGAATTATATCCGAAATACGAAATTCTGTTAACGAATTTCGGATCCGAATTTCTTTGAAACGGGAACTAATATTACCCCTGTAAATGAGGTTGAACAACATGACAAGATTTTTTTTTTAATCCGAAATACGGATCCGCTGCTGCTGAGAGTTGCATTACAATACACAGGCAGGAAATACGAAATTCCGTTGACGGAATTTCGTTCCGTTACGGACATTCGTTATATATTGAAGTTAAAAAGCAAAGTACATTTGTATTGGAGTTGATGGTAGTTTTTTTTTAATACGAAGTTCGGATACGGAATCCGTTAACGGAGTTCGTATTTCGTTTGACCAATCAGAGGTTCTCTTCTGCTGCTGAGAGTTGCATTACAATACACAGGCAGGAAATACGAAATTCCGTTGACGTATTTTCGTTCCGTTACGAACATTCGTAACGGAACAAAGTACAATTATATTGGAGTTGATGGTAGTTTTTTTTTTATCCGAAATACGAAATTCGGATCCGGAATCCGTTAACGTAATTCGTATTTCGGATAAAAAAACAACCACCACATCGACTCCAATATTAACAAAGGTATTAACTTCATCATAACGAATGTTCGTAAAGTTACGAAAATGTGCCGAAACTAACGAAAATTCGTATTTCGTACGAATCCGAATTGAGTTTCGGACACGAAATACGAAATAACGGATATTCCGAAACGGAACGAATTTTTTGACGGCGCACAAGTCTATTGCTTGCTGGAGAGAAAAAAAAAGAGAGCCCTTAAAAAATGCCCAATCTGGGCAGAATTCCTGTTTTGTGTCGTGCTTTCTCTGTCCGGTTTAGACGTTCCGTGTGTCGGCGAGGCTAACCCTCTCTCACGTCCTCTCTTGGCAGTTCCTCAACGTGTCCTTCCAGGGCTGCGGCATGGACTCGCTGAGCGTGCGCGCGTTGGACACGGACACCATCAGCCAGTGCAAGGAGAAGATTCTGGAGGCTTTCTGCAAGAACCTGCCCTTTTCACAGTGGCCTCTGGTGGAGGACGTGGATTTGGGTAAGTGCCACTGCCCCGCCCCCCACGCAGCCTTAACCTGAAAGGACCGCTTACATGAAAAGATTGTCCAATGTGGACATCGGCAGACTCCACCACCAGCTCTGCAATCTCTAATGTTGGCCATACACAAAGCAATTTCATTAGTCAACCCCGAGCAACTTTTGGAATGGAACTCAACTTTTTGGGGGCCATTCACGAAGGAGCCAAAGGATCCAGCCGGAGCTTCAGCTGATCCTTCGGCTCCCTTCGACCGCTGGACCCCTTCGGCTCAGTCGAATTGAAGGGCTGCTGTACGGGTTATTCACAATAGCCCGTACAGCTCCCGAAGGCGGCCGAGCGGCTCTGTGACGTGCTAGAAGACTCTAGCCGGTGCCGGCCAACAGGAAACAGTTGGGCGGAGCTAGCTGTCCCACTAGCTCCGCCCAATTGTTTTGTGTTTTTTTTAATCTTTATTATTTATTTTTACAATATTTTTTTTACTATTTTATATTCAGCTCGGTACCACGGAGGTACCAAGCAGAATAGCCGAGCTGAATGCTGCTCGACGGCACTCGGCTATTCACTCACTGCCGATCGGCCCCTATGAGAATATACGAGAATAGGAGCGAACGGCAGCGAGTGAGCTGCCGGAGTTTCTGCTCGGCCAATCCAGATGTTGGATCGGCTGAGTCGTAGTCCTTCTGCAGTTCGGCCGAACATGAGCATGTTCTCCTTTTAAGGGAATTAGTGACCTGACACATTGGGGGGCGGTGGCGTTCACGGCTGCAGTTGGGTTGATAAGCTTCCCGGAACCTTCGCTGGGCCTAAAGCAGGGGTAGCAAACCTCAGGCCCTCCAGCTGAGGTGAAACTACAAATCCCATGATGCATCTCTCTCCAGGAGTCATGCCTGTGGCTGTGAGAATCTTGCAATGCCTCATGGGATTTGTAGTTCCACCACAGCTGGAGGGCCAGAGGTTTGCTACCCCTGGTTTAGACATACTGAGGGTGGCCACACACGGCGCCGTCAATGCCGATCCTTGCAGGCGCGGTGATGAACGCCGATGAGCGGCTCCCTGTACGGCGGTTTACGTTTTGCCTCTTCTTCCTCCGCAGAATGGTTCGCCTCCAGTTCCCAGAGCTTCATCCTCCGAGATCTCGATGACACGTCGCTTATGGAGGACGGAAGGAAGAAGCTGAACACGGTGTCGCATTATAAGGTACCGGAAATGCGGGTCCCTTGGGGCCCCTTTACACCTTTGCCTGTGTTCATTCACTCGGGTGACGCATGTGTTCTTGTGCATTGGGGTACAGCGCTATTTTATAGCGGGGCACATTTTTGCCTTGTAGCGTGTCATAGTAAAGACGCGTCCAGGTCTGCTGAGTGTGCACATTGGGCGGCATTCAGAATGAATGGCATTGCCTATGTAGTGTGCGCTATGCTGCGTTGCTGTAACAAGTTGTAAAATGCGTTGCTGCAATGCAAAGGTCTACAGGTTGCCTCAGTGTTCCCCACCTAGGGCTGGGGGGAGGGGCAGCTAATGTTAGCAAAGTGATTTCATGTTGAGGGGGGCACCATGTGGCAAGTTGCCCCCTCTTTATCACATGCGTGCCCTGCCTTTCATTTTCCACCTCCGCTGTTCACAATTGGCGCACGGAGATCGCACAGCAGGAAGGTCCCATGATGTCACTGCGCACTTCCAGGTCCACTTAAAACCTGATTGGTGGAGCCGGATCTGCGCAGTGATGCTGAGACAACTGGTGGTGGTGGCGGCTAGAAGTGGGACTCCAGCTGCAGTTGACGATCGGGCGCGCTCACTGACTCATGTGCAGTTTGGCACCTTCGGCCTGGATGACCACCTCCTGGCACCGTCCACTCTATGAGCACTGCCGCTGTCCCTGATTCTCGGCGTGCGGTCGGGGAATTTGCGAGTCGGCAGGCTGCCGCCAGCTGAAGCCGCGGTGGTGGCGCATGTTCCTCGTACAGCCCCGTGTGTATTTTTAGACGTCTATAATGGAAAAAACTTTCTATTAATAGCTGACGTTCCGAGTTTTCTAAACATTCAAAGATTTCATAGTCTAAACCAGGGGTGGGCAAACTCCGCCCCTCCAGCTGTGGTGAAACTACAAATCCAATCATGCATCTGCCCCTGGGAGTCATGCCTGGGGCTGTCAGTCTTGCAATGCCTAATGGGACTTGTAGTTCTACATCAGCTGGAGGTTGCTTCTAATGCATTGCACTACGCTCCTGCCCTGGCAGCAGGGGCGTCCCGAGGCTGGGGGACACACGGGGCGGGAGACGGGGGGTGA